AAAGCATTTTAACCCTGTAGCAGTGGTATCTGTGGTCAGGTGAGACATATGGCAAAATGAATTACAGAATATAGTCCTGACCTACAACAGTACAAAGGGAAAAAGACAAATCCTTTCGGCATTCAAAAAAATGTATTAAAAAATAAAATTTAGGGCTGGGCTAAAGTAAGGAATTTCCAGAAGCAAATAAGAGTTAAAAAGAGAGAGAGAGACAGAGAGAGAGAGAGAGACAGAGAGAGAGAAGTAAATAATCCCTGCCTGAGAGAGAGAGAGAAGTAAATAATCCCTGCCTGGTCTTGAAGATTGAAAATTTTGCCTGGGACCCACAAAGGAAATACTAAGGAAGAACTGAAGTGAGCACTAATGATGGCTGCAATACAAAGGAGAAAAACAAATGTAAAACTCCATACTATTTGGGATTTCCACCCTCCGCCCAAGAAACCAAACAACAAGAAATCATACGGATGTGTTATTTAAACACATGATTCATAATATAAGAATAAAAATTTTTCTATGATAGAAAACTCTTTTCTATTAAGAAAAACAAGCGAAATGTATAAACAACATAAATAGCAACACTTTCCTTAATAAGATCTACTTAAGCGTCTGAAAACATTCAATTGCACGCTCAATTGGATATCTAGAACCTAACAGGTTTTCGGCAACTTTTTAAAGTAAATTTATTCTAAAATCTGTAAAAATAGAAAATGTTTCCAAAATATTTACCTCTTTGAAAAACTAAGACATCATTCAATAAATATGAATCTAAGGCTTATATACCAGGCACTGAGCAAAGATGAAAAAGGTCCCTCATGCTCTGGCAAAGGGATGAAGGACAAACAACAGACAATGCACTGAGTGCCCTACCTATAATACAGTACACACCAGAGAAGCCTATGGATAGTGTCAGGTCCACCAGGAGGAGGCCTCTCTCACTCCACCATTTTTCCAGTGGAAACGGAAGTAACATTCAGGTATCTCTGTACAAGCGAGTTTTTAGGTGACTATATATAACAGCATTAGCAAAAAGGGTATGGAGGACTTGTATTTGCACTGCAACAGTCATGTCTTAAATTATAAGCCAAACTATTGTTGGTCCAATATCCCCGACCACAGTGAAAGATTAACCAAAAGCCCATATGTTACATCAATAAAGAAGCTAATAGTAATTCTCATGAAAAACAAAAAACAAAACAACAAAACACAAGAGGATGCAAGATGGAAAACCAAGATCAACTTGGCACAATACAGATGCTGCATCCCAATAAGTATCCTTCCTGAACACTGCGGGAACCCCAGTCAGAAGCTTTGCACTGGTGCCACATTGCCCAGGCGAGACTTCCTGAGAGAAAAAGGTGTTAGTAATTTCTACTGTTGGGCTAATCTTGGTTTATGAATACCAGGTTTTAGTAATCCTTAATAATTCGCTTGGTAGGATATGAATAAGTAGCTCTCAGGCATATGTAAGTGTGAACAACTATGAGGCAATAAGAATGGAAGAAAAGGAGCTGCGCTTCCCATGAGGTGGGGCTCCCCACAAGGTGGGGCTCCCTAGGAGTCAGACTTTGAGGATCAGTGCATTAAGCCAGCACAGGAGAGGAAACGTAATTCTTTAGAAGGTAGAAGGGGTAAGAAAAAGCTACCACTGAAACATTAAACTCTGAGGTAATAATAAACTTGCCAAGTAAGGTATTTTAAACCTTCTATTTGATGTGTACAGGACCCATGAAATTATGCCTGGAAACTGTAATTTCAAGGAAGAAGGAAGCTATGAACAGGGTTCATTCCTTAAGGAGTGCATCAATTCTTTGCTATCTCAAATGCATTCTTAGGTTTCAAAAGCTCAGAAAGGGAGAAAGGGGAATATTCTCTAAGAGCCCACCACTTCACCTCATTTAGCCTTGTATATATCACGCCGTTATCTATAGTTAAATATGCTTTTACATATTTAACCAGCAAGTACTCCCCTTTGGAACAGACATCGAGAGTAAAATATATCAAATATATATTTTTCTAATCATAAAAGTTGGCAAGAAAACTATTTCAAAAGCTGATTTATTGAATAGATAAACTAAAGGGAAAATATTCATTCTTTTGCACTCCTAAAAGTTGTAAAAGTCTCCTCCTAAAGGCTGTGGCCCAAGTTTTAGCATTCACTACTTTGACTATTCTGTTTTTCAATTTTCTAATTTGAATACCAGGAAGAAACCATCTGAATTCAATGGTAAGTGTCTTGAAAACGTCAACTATTTGAAGAGAAGTTAAATTGATAGTTTACTACTCTCAAATAACTCTTTTGAAATGGATTACTGGTTCCACTATGGTTCCCATCTATGGTGCAGCCCTGTGACTATCACATTCTATCTTACAAGGATCTTACCACAAAACGGAAAATCTCCAGTTTAAAGTAGTGTAATGGTGATAACCGTCCTCGAGAATTCCTAATAATTTCTCAAACTATATAGTTATTGGAGTAACAAAGAGAGTTGTATTTTTAAAAGATGCAAAGTGACATCTCACTTCATTATAACAAATTATTTCATTATTAGGCGAAGTATATACAGTTCTTGACAGACTAAATTAAGCTCATGAGTTGAAACAGACTGTTGTAAATGCACTTCAGGAACACACAATTTTTTTTGTTATTCTCTTGCCAAATTCTTCTCCTATTCACTATAGAGTAACAGACTATTACATAAAATGCTAAGTTTCTATTTCCCCTTGATTCTTGGCCAATTTACTAAGTAAAAAGTTATTTTGCTGAGAAAGCAGAAAAAGTCCACACAGAGTATGCTGGAACACTTCCTATAATCAATAATTTAAAAATAATTATGGAGTAAGAAATAATGAACGGTTTGTGAAAACAGCAAAAAAGCAGGTCAAAGAAAAACATTAGGCAGTAGGTCAGGACAACATGTATCCCGGGAAATCAGAAAACTCACAAAAGCACCATGGAATTTAAGAGTAGAAAAACAGGAAACAAGAGAGAGCATTTTGTTAAAAACAAACAAACAAACAAACAACAAAAAACACTACAAAAATCACAAATTACCTAATATTTGGAAAACCAACTCTAACAAATGCCACTAACCAAATATCAGGAAAACGTCATACCTAAACACAAATATCTTATACCTTCACAGAGGGAGCTACAAAGCAAGATGTCAGGAAATGCAAACTCTATATATATGGTGAAAAATATAGAAATATTGCAGAAGAGAAATTTAAAATCAATTGCTAATATGCCTCAAATGAAAAAAAAGTCTCATTTATAAAATCACAACTGAGGGAGGAAGCAAGGTATTCACTACCAGTAGACATCCAATGACCATGAATACATACATACACACACATATATATATTCCATTATATATATTCCCATATATATAGAAATACTCCCATATAAAGGAAATATTCTCATATAGGAATATATATATGAATATATATGTGAATATATATATGAATATATATGTGAAAAAAAAAATATATATATATATGAGATAGTTTACATTTGAGAGCAAATTAGAGATAGTTTACATTATTGAGAGCAAATTACTTAGAGAGGAAAATTTCAGCTGTCAGGGAAAAACTTCCTCAAGGAAAAGATATTATAGTGCAGCCTCCTGCCAGCACCATTCCATCCCCATCTAAGCAGGGGTTGAAACCATGGGTTTAGATTATCCTATGACCTAAAAAGCAGTAAACCTTGTCTTCAGTACAATATGGCTCCCAGCACCCCACAGACTACTGTATTAATTCTGCTCCCTTACATCTATGCACGGTTTCAGTTTAGAAAGTGCCTTCACTTTTATTCAACAGCAACCTGTTTGGTGGTAGAATCACAGCACTTTACTTTCACAAAGCTTGTGGTATGTAAAGTACTTTCACACTCTGCGTTATTTTAGAGAAGAGACCCAAGGAAGTTGTCACTCCTCTAAGGACAAGTAGACGGTGAGTGAGTTGCTCAGACAACTGCCAGACTCCACTCAGTCAATAACAGACACTTCCAACCCTAAACAGTTCAAAGTACAACACTCCAGGGAGAGCAACCTCATTCAGAAAGGATAGAACTGCAGTCTCAATGGGCCATCTCTGCCTTGGTCTCCCTCTCCAAAGACAGGGAGACTGAGGCAGCAGGTGGGGACAAAAGCCCGATCTGGAGTCACGCAGAAAGTGTTGGTGGGATGGACTTCCCCCGCCCCACTTGCACTAAGCCCAGAGTAGCTGAATTCTGTGTTTAAGACACTTGGTCGGTCTCCAGAGAGAAGGGTCTTGCCGTTCCTGGTACCTTCTCACCGTTCCCGCCGGGGCTTTCCTATGGATGGGGGTCTCTTCCTCCCAGAACCGCCCAGCGATCCTCTCTCTCCAAGGCCCATACCCATTTTTCATATCAGGCCTCTGGAGTAGGAGAATCCGCTAGCGCTGGCTCCCAACTCCTAGCCTCTCTGTCAGCTGCATCTCTCGACCCCGAGGTATTTCTACGTCTCCCTAGGGAAGGTCTGCCTCCCACCCGTGCCACCTAAACCTTAAACTCCACAAAAGGAAACCCTCCCAAAGCGTCCTCCCATCTACCTCTTCCGCCCTGGACACCCCCGAGAGCCCTCCTAAATATCAGGAACCTCCCAGGAGTTACCTGCCTCTCACCTGGGCCCCTTTAGCCGCGGCCTCCTCAGAAAGGCGACCCCCAAGAACCTCCTCGGGTCAAGAACACCCTAAAGGAGAAACATCCTCTTCCAGGAACCTCTTCAGGCGCCTTCAGCAGGCAACCCGGTGGAGAGCCTCCGGGCTCTTTCCCGGGCTCTGCCCAACGCCACCCCTCCTGGGCCCCTTCCCGGAGCTTCCCCCGACCCCAGTCCCGTCTCCCAGCCGCAGACTCGGGCGGCTGTCCCCCGCCCTGACGGACGTCCCCGGCTCTCAGACTTCCCCCCACTCCGCGTCCCCCGGGTCTTCCCGGATCAGCGCGGCCGGGCTGCGGCACTGACTTTCTCCAGCTCCCGGGTCCACCCAAAAGAGGGGGCGGCGGCGGCGGCGGCGCGACTCCTTTGTGACAGGTCCGAGAGAGCCGTAAAGATGGACGCGAGGCCACGGCACTGCCATTACGCGCGGGGCCCACCCCCGCTTCGCACAGCCGCGGCCCGCCCTCAGTCCCCTAGGAAACGCCCCTTCCTCGGTGGCAATCCCTCTCCTTGACAACCAATCACCTTGCGGGGTCTGTATCACGTGACTGCCCGGCCTGGCCCGCCCCCTGGGAGCGAGCTGGCCAATCCCCTTGCTGAGGTGTGAATGGCCCAATCAAGTGTCTCCCGCCAGCTTTCTAGGCACCGGATTTCCATCGGACTCCTGGGGAGGAAGAACGGTGCGGATTGGGTTAGGCCGCCGGAAGCGGGGTGGAACTTTGTTGTGGCGGTGAGGAGCAGGAAGCCCTGAAGGGTCAAAAGAAATACAAAAGCAAAGGCTATTTTCTTTTCCTTTTTTTTTTCTTCCTTTTTTTTTTTTTTTCCCCCCTAAAGAGCGATCGGCCTTTGCGGTGGCGGTTTGGGGTGGGCGCCACCGAGGAGCGAGGGTCTCGCCTCCAGTGCGCCGGTAGGTGAGTGGGGCCAGGGCTCTGGCCAGGCGGTGAGACCTGGGCTCCAGCTTCTTCGCTGAGGAGACCGGGGGGCTGTGTCTGATGTGAGGTTTAGGGCCAGGCCTGTTCTCAGTGTGCGCACTCGTCCAGTGTCTGAGTTGCCAGGGCCCGGGGCTTGCTGGGCCCAACCTGAGGGGGGCCGAGGGAGCCCGCAGAATGGCCTCCAGGTCGTGTGGGACAGGATCCCCGACCCTTTCGAGCGGAATTGGGACTTCGGGCTTCTTGCAGGCTCCCCTCCACCTTTTCTGCTAGGTGGGGCCATCGAGGCTCCAAGTGAGGAGCGGGCCCTTTTCCAGAGCTCTGGGAACGGCTCCAGGCTCCTCAGGAGATGTGGGGATGCCTGGTTGGAAATGGTTGAATCACAGCATGTAAGTAAGTGTAAGATGGGAAACATATTTACTATATTCCGTGTACCAGCTGCCATAGCGTGCTCGTTTTGTAGAATACTTAGGAAACTAAGACCAAGAGTTGAAGCATTCGTTTGAGAGTTGGTGGCCCATGTGAGTATCGATCTGCACGGGGGGGAAAGGAGGAGACCTGTTCGTTCTCAGCAGTTCTTAAACTAGTAGAAAACAAGATCTTCTGCAGCCCTTTTAAAATGCAGATTCTCGGACCCCACTCCCGGATAGTCTGACTGAGTAGGTCTGGAGTGGGACCCAGGAAGCCAAATGTGGGCCTGGTGGTCAGAATTCCCAGTGACATCTTGGGTACCAGCTGTGAGGTAAGATTTGTTGATTCTTCAGTTGTTTGGTTTATTGATGTCTTAAGAGGGACCCCATAAAATAGTTTGGTGGGCACTACTTCTGAAATCCTTGAATCTCTATAGACTCCTCTTTGAAACGAGGAATTGAGCTCAGTTAAAATCTGCTTTTATAGTCTTTCAAATAGAGCTTGAGATGAGCTGTTAACAATTTGTAAGGGTCTGAAAACAGAGGCTGCCCAAGTATCTTTCCCAGCTGAAGTCTTGGTGTGGGTGCCTTTTACACCAATGGGGCAATTCTTCATGGTTCTAAGAAAGGAAGAATTATTTCAAGACCGTCTACCTGGTTAGCAGCCTTTCCTTTCACCTTCTAAGAATCTTGATGTTTGGTTAGAGTCAAGCTGCTGCTTTAGAATTCGAAAACCACGTTTCTGGTAAGTGAAATAATTTAAGCGCATGGTTCAGCTCAATCATTGAGGCAGCTACATGAAGCAGTTTCAGTTGATCTCTATGGATCATCTTTTGAACATTCTTTGTCTTTCTTAAATATGATCTGTCTCACTCTATAGGATGTTTGGTCTTTGGTTTTCTGCATTTTCACTATAATATATCCAACTATGGATTTGTTTTTGTTAGATTTGTTTGGTGTTTATTAGACTTGAATTTGTGGATTACTGTCTTCATTAGTTCTGTAAAATTCTCAGCCAGTTTATATTCCTATATTGCTTCTGCTCCATTGTTTATCTTCCTTTACTGATGAAACATAGACCTTTTTTTTTTACTCTGTTCTCTTCCTCTCACTGTCTTTTTATTTTTCCGTACTACATTCTGGATAATTTCTTTTTCATTAATTCTCTCTTGTTATTTCGAATGTATTATTAAACTCATCCATTGAAATCTTAAATTCAGTTATTGCATTTTTTAGTTCCTGAAGTTCTATTTAGTTCTTTTTCAGATGTGCTGTACCACTGTTTTACAGCTTCTTATTCTCTGCTATTAATTTTAAGGGTGGTTTTTATCTCTTTAAACATGGTAAGCATAGTTGTTGTAGAATCTGTGCTTTAAATCCACTATCTGCCTTTCCTGCATGCCACCAGGAGGCTGGCTTTTTTCTTTCTGGTTCACCTTTACCTTGAGGATGTAGTTCTTGGGGTACCAGATTCAGGAGAAGGAGGTGGTTCTCAGACTCCCTTCACATCCTGTGGGGTTCCTGGCTTTGACTTTTGTTTCTGTAGCTTTAGGAAGGCACAAACACAGCAGCTTTCAAGGTCAGAGACACCCTCAGTGTGAAGACAAGTTTGAGTATTGGGCTGAATTTCTCGTTTTCCCCTTTTCTTGGATTTTTGCTAAATTCTTTACTATCTTGTTAGCTTTTCTGTAAGAATTATTTAAAATTTTTCTTCCGTTTCTTTTTTATCATAGAGGGAGAGGATTGGTCTCAATTAGTCCACTGTTTCTGAGAATGAAAGAACCCTTTCATTCTGATTTTGGAATATGAAATTCATGATTTGAGGCAATCTTGAGTTGAAGGTTATTTTTCTTTGTATACCGAAAACTTCCACCATTTTTCACTGTGCAGCATAACAGGCATTATCAAAATTAAGCTTCCCTGATGTTTTTTTCTAGTCCTTTCTTGAACTCCTCAGTGCTTCTAATTACTTACAGAATTTGACCTCATTCTACTTTTCTTTAAATTGCTCATGTGCCAACCTGTTACTGAATGCAAGTTCCTCACTTGCTAAAAAGTAGAGTGCCAGGTTAGTACCTAGCATTGTGCCTTGCACATAATATGTCCCTTGTAAAGATTTACTTCAAAAATATAACCAAATGAGTTAATTGGCCTTATATTTGGTTTCTGTAATGCAAAGCCTTTATTTTATTTTTAAATTTGATCTTAGAGAGCAGAGTTATATAACCTGGGGGAGGGAGGGTACGATTTAGTGTGGGTTAGGTTCCAAAGCCAGCCCATATGGCAAAGTAGTGCATAATCACAGCTACCTTCAAAAATCTTTTAGGGAAGCACCATGTTGGATGTAGGTATACCAGCGCAGCAAAATTCCAGCATGGCCAGGTTTTCCTCCAGCTTTGGAACAGATGCTGTTTTTCTTCCTGTGAGCCCCAGATGAAGTAGTTGGTTTGCATTTAGAAGTCACAGTGTGTAACAAATAGAACTAATATTAGAATCATACATAGTGAGGGAAGTGTTTATATTCTGAGAGGCACACGTGAACTGGGGAACTGCTAAGGGAACCAATATTTTAAGATCTTTCTTGTTTTCTTCCAGTGCATATAATGAATTCAAGGTAAATGCACATATGATGAGACTGTTCTTCTCTTATGGGAAGATAAATGGTATATATAGGTTTTTTAAAATAACTTTTTATTGTGTGCGTGTTTTTAGATGCCTAGACAACCAGAAGGTTACTTTAAATATGAATTAAATTGCTGTGATGTATACTCATTTTTAGGTTCTTTTAGTCTTCTTTGGTACTGAGGGATGTTAAGTAAATTTCATTGTTAGAAGATTGAGGATTACTTTGTCTAGTAATAAATGCTAGCAGATTGTTCTCTGCTAGTAGTTGTCATTTTCTGAAGTTTTAAAATCTAGAGGACATTGGTTTTAGCTAAATTGCTATGGCTTGGTAGAAGAGCCTTCTCTCCAGAAAGCAGTCCATTTGGAATATAGTTGAGTTTGCTAAGATGGAGGATTCCTCTTAGTTGCTGTCCTGCATTTTGAAATCCCGTGTGACTCGAACATCAGGGCAAAAATTTAGGAAGAACAATGCTTAACTATATTTACTGACAAAAGGAAAATGTATTGGCCTGTTATTCTTGCTACCTAAAGAGAAGCCTTAGAACATGCTAACACAGAGATCTGATTCCCCCTGGTGTATTTTTACACTTACAGTCTATCTAATGTTAGAATTAGGAGGGTATTGTGGCTACTGCTGTAAACACTTGAGTAGTCTGCCATCACAAAATTCAATTCCATGGAAACCAGATCTCATTAACTTGTATTATGGTACCAGCTAAGTGGAATTATTTACTGTATTCCTTGTGCCGCACTCTGCATCCCTGTAACTGTTTCGTAGCTACTAATTTGTGCTCTTTCATCTCTTCACCTTTTTCACACTCACAGATACAGAGAACAAACTGGTGATTGCCAGAGGGCAGGGGGGTTGGAAGCCTGCGTGAAAAAAGAATAATTTTTTTTTTCAGCAATAGCAATTATTTTGGAGGCAACAGTGTAAGTTATGTATCTTAAAACTTGGATGGATGCTGTGTAAGACACTGAGCCTATTTTGTCCCACCAACCTGGAAATTAAATACCACAGTCTCCAGTACAAGCACAGTAAGTGCAGTGTTTAACAGTCATGTTGGCTTGAAATATAAGAACTTTGTTTTTTGGCTGTCAAGCAAATGCGAAAACTGTGTTCTTTATCAGTTTGAAACTTTTAAGTTTGGACAAAGTGATTTTGGTATGGTTTTAGTTTTCTATTCTCTATTTGAATAACTTTAATCCTTTTGAAAATAATGTAATGTTTTGTTTGATAATTACTTAAGTCACCTTGAAGGAAAAAGCTATGATAGGAAAGTTGACAGTATTTATTTCTAAAATTAAACACAGTAAGGACAAAATAAGTATTCCCAATGTAATGTCTCTTTATTCCTACATGAATCTTTATAGTTAGATTCCCAGGCCCCTGGGCTTTTGTTTGTTTGTGTGTGTGTGTTTTTAATTATTCTAGCAAAC